ATGTATGTATGTATTGTATGTATGTATGTATGTATGTATGTATGTATGTATGTATTGTATGTATGTATGTATGTATGTATGTATGTTTGTATGTATTATATGTATGTATGTATGTATTATATGTATGTATGTATGTATTATATATATGTATGTATGTGAGGGTGTGGTTATATATATATGTAAATATGTATATATATATATGTAAATATACATATATATATATATGTATATATATATGTATTTATGTATATATATATATGTATATATATATATTTGTATATATATATGTAAATATCTATGCATATATATGTAAATATCTATGCATATATATATATGTGCATGTACTGTATGTATGTATGTATGTATGTTTGTATGTATGTACGTACGTACGTACGTACGTACGTATGTACGTACGTAGTAATGCGGTACTCAATCCATAACTGGTTTTTACAATCCATAATATTTTTCTAGAATCCAAAATTTAAATACAATGTGCAAAGCTCAATATAAATATATATTCCAATCCACGTTTCAAAAATAAAAACGATCACGACAATCCATCGATGCATTTTGCAGCTGTTCTTGGCTTTTCAATCCTGGCCGCACCACTCCTGGCCGCCGGGGCCTCAGATTCATAGTTACAGATGAACATGGTTACAGATGATTTCATTCATTCATATGAATTTTCAATGAATTTCAGTCACATATGTATATATATAGATACATATACACATACATATGTATATATATATGCCTATATATCTGTGTATCTATCTATATATCTTAGTATGAATATTCAGAAGCTGCACAGTTCACATATTTCATTGGATGCCCACTGTGATTTCGATTTCTGAGGTCCTGATCCTGAGCATATTTCAGGGAGAGCAGTGGGGAGGCAGGAGGTTTCCCAAGCCTCCAAGCCAGAAGGCTTGCCTATTTCAAGCTCCTGGCTTTGGGTGGTCACTCCAGTGAGCATTGGAATAGGTACATCCTGCAGGAGTTGGCAGGGGAGGCCCCTGCAGAACCTGAGGCAGAAGCCCCAATGGATGATGATGGTCCTCAAGCACTTGAAGAAATTGGACTGGAACACCCTGGTCCACAACCCCAAGGCCCTCAAGAGGCACAACAACTGGCACTACCCCCTGCCAGTGAGTTCAGCCACTTGCAAACCAGAGATGATCTCTCAGAGGCAGCCAAATTGGTGTTTGACAACTTACCAACAAAGATGATGAAAGGCAACAAGTATGTGGCCTATTATATCAATGGCTGGGGAGGGTCAGGCAAAAAGTCCAAGAAGTCAAATGGGTTCAATACCAAAGCTGCATTGGCAGCAGCTATCAGTGCCTGGTGCACTGAAGGGGACCCATGGCAGCGAATCATTTAGCCGGAGTTTGTTTTGGTTTCCTCGGGTACACAGAATCACTTTGAGGCGATCTATGTGCTGACGCTGGGCTACTTGCTGTGCTTTCGGCAGAATGTACAGGGAAAACGGCATTTTGGGCAAAATACAATGGAGAAAACATGCATTTGGGGCAAAATATAATGGAGAAAATCCTAGAGGTTTCGGCAAAATACAGCCAAAAAAACGCATTCTGGGCTAAATACGATGGAAAAAATGCATTTGGGGCACAGTGCAATGGAGAAAACTTGAAGGTTTTGGTAAAATACATACACAAAAAATGCATTCTGGGCTACTGAAGAATATCGGAAACCTGATGATTCAACAGCACCTCTCCTAATTACAGACATGTTGATTTCCACGAAGTGTCGCGAAGTTTTGTTTTTTGGAATTCATGGCCGAAGGTCGTTGCTTGTGTGATAAACTTAAATTTTGGAACGCCAAGGTCCTTTTGATTTTCGCTTTATCCTTCAAGACCAAAACCTGTAAGCAAAGCCCTTTTGCAAAGCAAAACAGGCGGCGCAGTCCCGAATCCATGCTCCAACGCAACGTTGAACGCATGGTTCGGGAGAACAGTTTTTTCCGATGTGGGATCGAATCATGCAGCATTCCCGGATACAGGGAGTTAGCGTTGAAGTTGCATAACACCAGAAAAAATGTACCACAAAACCAAACATACTTGGAAATATATAGTCGCGCACAAGGGTTTAAAGTGTGCATGTTCAACAACAATTTAGCACTACAGCTGTCCGCAACCGCCGAAGCAATGGGCAAACATACTAAGCGCGGCGGAGTCAAGCGGCGCGTTCAAGCACATGGCTGGATTGATCCTGCAAAGACGAGAATGGACCAAGCCACCTCTCCGCTGCTAGCCCATCTAGCTGAACCAAAAGCAGAAGAAGTTCCCAAAGCAAGCCGAGAAGCCTCGAAGGACGCCACGGCAGTTCGTGGTCCAGACATATTGAATGAATTTTTGGATTGACAAATGGAACGGGAAACCTCCCAATGCCAATGGTTGACCATCATTTTCTCCATGCGGCTAGACGACAATATAGACGTTGATCGGGCAGTATATCCCGGTATGTTGTTTGACCTGTCAAGTCAGACAGGTTTGAAGGTTCATTGGGATAGCCGTGCCTCGGTGGAAGGCGAACTTACAACAAGAAGAGACGTTGAAATGTCTCCGACTCGCGCAAAGTGAGGCGGGGGCTGCATGTTGCTGCAGTGCCGAGCATGTTCATGGATTTCAGCTCTTAACATTCGGAGCCCAGGATTTGAAGGGTCGCATGGTCGCTTAGAATCACAGAATTAGGATCGCTTACACCCAAAGGATTCGGATCGCTTACGCCCCTGTCATGCATCCAGTCATCATGATCATGATAATGATAACGATCATCATCATCATCATCATTACCATCATGACCATCATGACCATCATGACCATCATCATCATTATCATCACCATCATCATCATCATTATCATCATCAGAATCCCTAAAGGGTCCGTGCCTGTGTACTCCCTATGTGAAGCCAAGAAACCCTAAAGGGGCCATGCCTGTATACTTCCTATGTGAAGCCAAGAAACCCTAAAGGGTCCGTACCTGTGCACTTCCTATGTGAAGCCAAGAAACCCTAAAAGGGCCATGCCTGTATACTTCCTATGTGAAGCCAAGAAACCCTAAAGGGTCCGTACCTGTGCACTTCCTATGTGATGCCAAGAAACCCTAAAGGGTCCGTGCCTGTGTACCTCCTATGAGAAGCTCAAAAACCTTCATGGGGCCGTGCCTATGTACTTCCTATGTGAAGCCAAGAAACCCTAAAGGGGCCGTGTTGGGGTTGCCGCAATACGCGATGCATCAATGTGATGGTGACACCCAATATCTTTAGTGACTTGGTGAAATACCACAGAGACAGCTTGCACTCGTTTTGCTGTTCCGATGGCCGACAGATCGCAGAGATCAAACGACAGTGTCTGGAGAAGGATGAAGATATCGAGCAGTTGAAGATGTTGTCGCTTGGCTGAATGGGGGGCAGGGCGGAAAACAGCAGAAACCAACATCAGATGCAAACGTGCGACCGTTCTCGAAAAGATTTTTTTTTTAAAAAAAAACTATCGGCCAAAATGCGTTTCTCATGGGACGGGTGAATTCGCAAAGGAAACTACATGTACGTAGATTTCGTTGCGTTTGAGTCTTGCCTCACCATGTTTGGGTCCTGCACATCCAAAGTTTTTTTTAGTAAATGAAGTCAAATCATCTTGGATATCTTGGATAGAGCTGGGCTGTTATTTTTTGTTGATATTCAACATATTTCACGTGGTTATCTTATCCAAATTGTGAACAAATTCAATATAGTCATACAGTATCATATAGTATTCTGTATCTTTGATGGAAACCTATGCCAGATATGGTCAGATTGAAAATTTGACCCTGTCTGGCAATTGCATGACTGAAACTGCTAGCTGGGATTTAGCAGTATTCATTCAGTGGGCGTAAAGGGTTGGGAATCGAGAGCGAACTGTGGCAGCTTGTTTTTTCGGGGTCGGCAAGGTGGCTTTCTCAAATTTCATTGCCATAACTGCAGAACATGTTTGACGTCTTTGGCAGGAGGACAAGAACAATGCATTAGTATTCCTGGCATTGTGGCTTTGCGACGTGCGCCATAATACAAAGAAGACTACTTATGTGTGATATATACGTGAGGTATCAAATGATGTTAGTTTTCTTGGACTTTGCTGCTGGTCTTTTACCTGATTAAGTTCCCAAGAGGAAGCGTGAAGCTAGACTGTGCTTAAGCAGTGTTCAAATCACATTTCTAAACCCGTGTCGATTGACAATGAAAGCGAGATAATGTACGATTGTGGATTTAGACAACTCGTCCTTGGGAAGCCCCGCTACCCACTAA